CTCTGCCTCACAATTTGCTCAAGTCCTTCTCCCAAACAGGGCATTGTGACATGAAAGTCAGTGATACAAGACTGTGTGAGTGATACAGGCAGATGAGTCTTGATCCTGATCTGGGTGAGAGAGACCTGGGTTAATCTGACATTCCAGGAACTTGACTTTCTATTTAACTGTGCTGTATCTTCTCTCTGAGTGTTTGATGGAACAGTATCAATGTGGAGAAGTTATTCTGTTCTTGTTTTAAAATAGGAAATGTTATTTCTTCAAGTTTCTGAATCAATCACCCTTTCAGACAGTGAAATCCAAACTGTCACCATCCTCTGGACAAAATAATTTCTCCTCAACTGCCTTCCAATCAATGACTTCAAACCTCTGCACCCTGGTTGCTGATCTCTCTGCTCAGGGAAATAAAATTGAACATTCCAATCAGCTGCTTCTGCCACTTCCCTCCCTTCCACGAACCCACCTTGACAAATTCCCCCACCCTCGCCCTGAACTTTCATTTTTCTCTAGTTTCTCTCCTATTTCCCACCATGCCCTCTTTGAGCTCATCTTGCCCATGAGACCCACCTCCTGTTCCCTCGACTCTATTCTCAATAAACTGCTGATCACCCACTTCCATTCCTGGTTCCCACGTTAGCCAAGATTACTTATGGTTCTCTCTCTTCAGATATGTCTTCTTTCCTTTAAATTTAAATTAACATCCTTGTCCTCTTGACCCCTTTGTCTTCGCAAACAATTGTCCCATCTCTAACCTCTTCAAAGTCTGGAATAAGTTGTTGTTTCACAAATTAGTGGTGGCACGGTGGCTCAGTGGTTAGCACTACTGCCTCACAGTGCCAGGAACCAGGGTTCAATTCCACCCTCGGGCAACTGTCGATGTGGAGTTTGCACATTCTCCTTGTGTCTGTGTGTGTTTCCTCCAGGTACTCCGGTTTCCTCCAACAGTCCAAAGATGTGCGAGTTAGGTGGATTGGCCATGCTAAATTGCCCATAGTTTCGAGGGTTGGATATGCCTGTTTCCACTCTCTAGGGGTTCTATGATGATCTAAGAAATTCAAGAAAGGGACTTGGGTCATGTTAGATATGAGGTCGAGAGCAAGGGAGTCAAACCAGGAGTGTGGTATCAATCAAGGGGAGAGAGAGACCTTCAGAGTGGTCTGGTGAGGAGTGAATTTACTCCCCAAGTCACTTACAGAGAGTCTATCTTCGAGTTGCAGAGGGTCTTCAAGAACAGGTTACTCCCCGAGCGCAGAGTTATTCCTGTCTCCTTCCTATGCCACTCCCTCCTGGGCAATTACTGATCCCACATCATCACTGCCTTGGATGCTGTGGATCTCCGTCTTTTGAACTGTTGTCAAACACATCTGAGGCTACACTTCCTGCACTAGTGTCATCAGTTTAAAAGCCTCCAAGAATGAAGAGTGTTGCTCCCACAATAGAAATCTCTGTCAAACATTTACCAGGGGACCTAAGACAGCAACTGCAATAAATGGGGTTTTATTCAGTTGAGAAAATGACAAGTTTAAATCTCCACCTGATCTGCTGCTCAAAGTCACTTCCATTTCTCGGTCAGTTTCCTAAGTTTCAGGAAATTCATGTTCCTCTAGAAACTGAGATAACAAGGTGTAGAGCTGGATGAACACAGCAGGCCAAGCAGCATCATAGGAGCAGGAAGGCTGACGTTTTGGGCCTAGACCCTTGATCAGA